CATCCATATTTTATAATAAGAGTTGTTATTTTATTTTATTTTTATTTATACATTTATTTATATATATATATTTCGTTCGTTATTTTGTTTTTTTGTATTTAAAAATTTTTGTTCTATTTTCTTTGTATTCGAAAAAGCTTAGCCTGATGATGGCCAATAGAGTTGGCTGAAAACGTTAGCTTTTCATTAAAAGTTTTCTCAGCAAATTAAGGTGTTGTGTTATTTTTGAGTTTACAAGCAAGTGCTGAGTGAGTGTAATATAGTTAGATAATCTGTTTAACTATAATAACATAAATGTATTGATGTAAATTATATGAATTATATTAGTTAATCTGTGTTAAGCTTGACAATTGGATGACAAGGTGATGAAAGTAATAAGTTTCTTTTCAAGGAATTTTTTCAGTGTTAATAAATTTCTTCACTCAACAATTGGTTATTGTAGTTTACACACATTTCTTTTTTATTCTTAGCTAATCCGTAGATTCTTGCGACAAACTTTTGAATTTTTAAGAAAGGAAAAGTGGAATGAAGACAACATTAAATACTTATTGGAAAAACTGGAAAGCAATGTGTTGGCTCCAAAGATGAATTCGACATTAGTATCATTGAAGAGTCATATTATTGACATATTTCTTGAAGAATTAGCAAGAGTTGGTGGAGAAGAGGTACATGGTGAAACACCATCTGATTTACATGTTGTAGCATATAGATTATTCTGTAATTGGATTCTTAATTAGACTATATGAAAATAAATATGAATCATATTTCTATGTTTTTGCATTGGTAGCTTCTTCCCGAACAGATGACAATCTTCTTACGACAGTTTTGTATGATGATGGCAAAAACGGATAAGTACGTTATAAATACTATTTCTAATACAAAATTTATAATGAAATGCAGAATTATAAATATATAATTTATTTTTTAGCCCTGTTCTCTTGTCTGATATAACAAAAAACATATTTGAATATATTATTTATCAAAATGATGATGCTGAAGAACAGAATGATGATACAGAGGAAATGGATGATAAAAAAGATAAAGGAAAACTTGAATGTGAGGAAAAGTTGCCCATTCTTCAGGTAATCTTTCATTGTTTCTTTCTCTTAAAAATAACTTATACACAAGTAATAATTTTATATTAATAGGTGAATTATGATGAAGTAGCAAATCTCCTATTTAATTTTGCTAAGAAGAAGAGTGTGAAGAAAGTAAATAGAGCAGTCATGTACAAACTTGTTAAAAAGTAAGAAATTATTTTTTTAATATTGAAATGATTTAATTCTATCAGAAAAAAAAATATAAAATTTACTTTATAGATTTAGAGATTTGGCTCAAGGTGTATCAGCATTCAAATTTGATGGTATTTTAAGTAGCGGAAGTGATTTAGACGAAGATGATGTCAGCATTGCAATTAATCGTCTTCAGAAGGAGCAAGAAAAAGACAAAGAGGACACCAACAAATGGAAAACAATTAGAAAACGCACATTGCAGGAGAGATGTAAGAAGGCAAAAATTATTACAAAGAATAAAAAAGCAAAAATAGACGACAATTTCGACAAAAACAGTTCTGATGGTGCCATAAATGTGTCAGAAGAAAATTTCGAAAAATACAAATGGGAGACTAGCGATAAGAAAAAGAGTAAAAAAAGTGATTCAAAAAAGAAATTAAAGAATAATATTGATGGGCAGAAGTTTAAAGTTGCCAGAAAAAATAAGAAATTGAAAACAAAATCATTAATAAACAAAAGCAAACATTTTAAAAAGAAGCAAAAAATGAAAGTAAAAAAATAAAATTGTTTCACTTGATATTTTTTTTGTTGTATTTGATTTTGTATATATTTAGAATAAATCTGAAATTAATTTTAAACTGTTTATAGCAAAATGAAGCAATTAGTCATTAAACACAATAGAAATCATTGATCTTTCACAAGAATCTAAATAAATTGGTTATATATCTTTAAAAGGTGATTCATTGCAGCTAAAATCTTCATGGGAATGTTAAATAAATATAAGGCTCCAATAATTAAGCTAATGGTATTAGGAGGAAGTTGTATTGTAAGCTATTCACTTTAAACCACAGGATTATATCATATTCTTATAGAAAAGATTTAATTTAGATTGTATATGTCATTGGTTTTTAACCAGGGTGCTGCAGAATGGTGCTCAGCAGCACCATGTTACTGAATATACAGAAATTGTAAGAACTCTACATTGATGAAGTAGAGTGCCACAAGAAAATATTACAAAGTTAAGGGTGCTAGTATTAAATAAAATTGAAAAACACTGGTATAGATCATAAAGTAAACATTTGTCAAGATGTAAATTTTCATAAGTAGACATTCCTGTCTGAACCACACTGATTTTGCATTATATCTTAACCTTCTACTGTTTGTGTAAATTTGATGTCAATCTACTTTTACCATCATTTAACTGTAAAATACATTTTATACCCTTTTTGATCAATGTAACTTGAAAGTTAAAATATGGTTGCTATTTTTTGATGTGTTGACAGCAATGAAAGTTCATTTTTTACCACTAGCTATCTGTGTATTTCAGACTGCTTATAGTTAGCTGTTTTTACTGTTATATTTTAATGCTGTCTTTAGATTACTTTTGATAATGGAAAAATATTTAACAGAATTGTAAGCATAATTCTACATTATTAAAGCAAAATTATAAAATTGTTAAATGTAATTTTTATGAATAAAATTAGATATGTAACTTTCAAGTAACATTGAGCACTAATAACTATGACTTTCTTTTTATATAGAGACATGGAAATTGGCATGAAAACATTTTATGGCAGAGAAAAAACAAACAAACTGAAATAAGAACTATTTGTGAATATGAATCAGAATATTCTCTTTTAGCTACAGCTAGTTAAGATTTGAAATAAGTGGTAACATTCATAGAAATTATTACTGAAAATTATTGATTGTGTAGATGAGGATAATGACAAAATGGATGGGAAACACTAAACCAGAAGTTTTCTATTTACCCATAAATGGTGTTTTAAGGCATTCATGTTATGTGATTTACCAGGAATTGCATATAATTTGAACTATACAGTGATACCTCGACTTACACTACCCCGACTTACGCGAACCTGGAGTTACATGATTTTCAAATCTCGTCGATTCGTCTTTTGTTTGAGCACCAGGCAACTCTTGACTACTCATTCCCTCCACACTATTGTTCAACTTACATGTTCGGACGTATCACGGCGGAATTGACACATAGCTACAATTTATTTTGTGTTATTTATTTCTGTGTTTGTTATATCTAGGGAGACTCGAGAGACTCTGTGGTGATTTCTTGTAACAATGAACGAATCAAAAGACAAGATAAGATTAACAAGAACATTTATTAGTTTACATACATCCGACAAGGATTTTACACACATACAGAAATGATATCCCGACTTACGCGAATTATATTCGACTTACGCGGTTATCGCTCGGTCCCCCCTATTGCGTAAGTTCGGGATATTACTGCACTAAGAAAAAGCAGTACGTTATATCTTACCAGGTATTACAGTGGGTGGAAAGGTTTTACAGCCAGCTCAAATTGTTCCATTCAGTTTCATACTAATTAGTTTTATGATTGCAGGTTATATCAAAGTATTCAGTAAGTAAATAACCAGTTAATAACCAGTAAATAATAATTTTAATTTGTATGAGCTATATTTATAAGTTTGTTAAATAAAATATTTTCCATTCTTTTTTAAATCCTTATTAACTGCTTTGACCATCCCATTTTATAGTTTAATTTGCTTAGTTATTGTATGATGATAATATTTTTCCTTTTTGTTTAGTTTATTATTTTTAGCCCAATGTGACTTCAAAGTAACATACCAAATTTGAAAAAAAGTGGAAAAGTAGAATTTCATCTCATATGTGTTTAATAATCAGTACTAAACAACATATATATGTTAATATATTTTTTACATGTCAAAAATTAATTTGGGCAGCAGAGGATTAACTGCTTTGACCATCCCATTTTATAGTTTAATTTTATCAAATGAAGATAGCAAATCAATTATGTTTTCTTATATGAAGTAAATGGATAAAAATACACACTGAAACCATAGAATGATATTATCTTCCTTGGTTCAAAAACTGACAATGACAGAAGTAAAATCTGAAATCAAGAAAAGAGTTACACTAGGGCAAAGTGAAATGCTAAGCATAGAAATAATTTGGAATAGCAAGGATATTCAGATAACTAAATGCAGGCTTGTCCAGGCTTTTATTGATCTCAGTGTATGGATGTGAGAGCTTGATTGTAAAGAGAACCGAAGAATAAGGATAGATGCATTTGAACTTTGATGCTGGAGGAAACTGCTCCAAATACCATGGATAGGGTGACAAACAGAAGTTCTACACCACATAAAACCAGGCATATCTTTAGAAGGTAGAGTAACCCAACTCAGACTCACATGTTTTGGTCATGTAATGCTGTCACGGTCACTTGAAAAGTCCATGATGCTATTACCCCTTATCAGCGGTAAGAGAAGGCCTGGTCTCCAGAGAATGATACTATGAAAATGGACACTGGAATGACCATAAGGATCAGAAACTGTGAAAAGAGCTTCTCAACAAGGTTGTGAGTGACTGAATGGATATCATCATCATATGAAGTAATATGCAATATTATCAAATCTAGATCATGTTTTCCTTTAGTCAGTGAGCATAAGTATCTGCATGTGAATTGAGAACCAAATACTATTTTGAGTATAGAGAACTGTATGTGTTTTTAGAGTTTAAGAAGTATAGTAGATCAAAATATGGATTGCTTAGTATTCACCAGTGGCATGCCATGACATTTGATGATAGGGAAGCTGTGTTTCTGTAAGAAGCCGACTTCCAGGGGCAGTCGGTCAGTGATGGTCTAGGGTTTTTTTTTTAACTCTCTGCCCTGTGAACACTAAGAGGGCCTCTTTGCAGGCCCATTATGGGTTCGGCCAGACCTACAATGGGGCTGCCGGGTGGTGAGGGACGGGGTCCGACATATCTGAACGGACCACCCCCGAAAAATTCCTGGGGATTTTCGACCCACTCGGATTCGAGCCCGGGTCCCCCAGAGCGGTAGGCTGCCACCTTGACCGCTCAGCCATCTGGCCGCAATGGTCTGGGGTCCATTCGTATTCGTTTGTTCGATAAGCCAGTAAAAACTGTACACTTCTCTAAATGTAGTTTTAATTAATAGATTATGTAACGCATTTAATAAATAAGCAAGTTCAATATAATTACCTCTGTTATATTAGATTTAATAGATTTCCTATGCCCTCTAAATGTTAATTCTTACTTCGATAACACCTACTAATTTAGATATAATATATCTATTAGCCGTAACTTTGTTATAATTTTCAATATTTATTTTATATTGTGCACTAATGTTAAATTCTATTCTATTTTGATTTCCAAATTGTTTCAATTTTACGAAAGAATCCATGAGACACTTAGGATTTTCGTGTCTTTTGCCAGCTTTACTAAAATTATTTAAATCGTCAAAGCCATTCTTATTCCACACACTAATTTCATTTGAAAATAATAGGCAAGGCCAACGAAACAATTTTTGCATTTTTATGCATCCACAGAGCCATTTTGTGTTCACAAATTTTATCGTAAAAATGTCGAGCAAATTTTTTTGTTGACGTATTTCTATTTAATTTAGGCGTTGGCTAATTAGGCTCTTTTAATAATGTTTTCTTTTTCATTATATAGTCTTAAGTCTAAACTTTTAAAAAATAAATTTCAATATCACGATTATATTCTAAATCGCTAGCCATAATATAAGGGCTAAAATTAAAAATAAAATTACAGTAGAGCCTCGATTATCCGACCCCCGATTAACCGACACCTCGGTTAACCGACCGTCCTAGTCGGCAAATTTCAAATGTTCGCTAGTGATGTGGCGCTACAATATTTGGCTATGTCTTGGATACTTTAATATTATTTTTACGTGTTTTAGCTGCCAACACTAGATCGACCATGAAAGGGAGCCAGTATTTAAACGAGGCTTAATTTTCTAATTTTTAACGATACAATAGCGACGATTATTATTTAAAAAAATTTTTGTTAGGCTTAACATCGATGAAAATTCAACGCGAAGTAGGTTAATAGCGATATACTAATATACTAGTTACATGGGATATAAAAATATACCACACTAATAATGTATTTTTTCATACTTTTCGGTTATCCGACTTTTCAATTATCCGACCAATCCCAGTCCCCAATTGGGTCGGATAATCGAGGCTCTACTGTATAAATACTTGTTAAAATAAAATGTGTGATGGATATACAATTATACATACCTGGTACAAAATATTCAATTGTATGAATATAGTTTTGTGAAGAAACGTACATAAAAATAACAAAATGTTCTTCACTTTTTAAATATTAAAACAATCCGCTTAGTTAAACTTGCTCTCTATCAGTGGCTCATGTATGGAATCAGAGACGATCTTGGTAGGTGTGCAGTGCGTGCATGCATGCATGCCAAATCCCGAGGGTGCCGATACCGGTTGTCAAATACCTCTTTTGTCGCATCACTAGTATATCTCAAAGGACGCGACAGGGTTGTTGTAAATTTTAAACGTTTCTCACCATAGCTATAAAAATTTAAATACGTTAAACTTAATAGATTGTCCGTCATTTGTTTTCTAACTAATTCGTTTTAGGACTAGGTGTTGTCCACGGAAATTTCTAAAATTTACAACTTTTCGGTCACTTTCATTGAACTAGAAAAATTTTTGTCTTTATTACATCTAATATTACGAAGAAATCAGTCCACACCGTACTCGGTTAAG